ATACCATTAATTTTCTTACCGAAATCTAGTTCCAATATACGAAAAATATAATAAGTATCGGTTTATGGTCATATTTTTCGTTGAATGAAAAAAAATTGAAAGCCAGCGTCAACACGTGAGACAATGTGCAGTTATGCAGAGTGCATTGTATAAATTATTATCACAGATATATAAACATGCTTATAAATATTCTGTGATTATCATTCATTTATAATTTGATAATATTTTATCTAATAGCGTTTTCCACCACACTGCACTGACTGCACCAGTACATATTTTTATGTTCCATCTGCAAGATTAATGTGCACGGAGACCGAGTGGACTTTTTTATGTTTCACCTAAATGCCTACGTCAGTTTTTTGCACTCAGTGCAAAGATAATCGCACGAGCGCTCTTGGAGCTCTTGCGCATTATCATTATCATGATAAGTACTGCAATACCCATTAAATATTTTATTATCTTTATAAATCAGTAATAAGCATAGACCTATCAACTAAGTTTATAGGTCTATGGTAATAAGTATAGATTTTATGTTTCATCTACATTTGCACCAGCCCGTGTTGGGACGATTATCAGTGAACTGTACCAGTTTTACCTTGGTGCAATAGTGCGGTGTGGTGGTAAACACTATAAGCCATGGCACGGACTGATACGATTACTGATAAGAATAGTAGAACGAGATAAATTCTCGTAAAGCACGAAAGGATGTTTATTATTGAACTACCTATAATCTATATCATAATAAAATAAATTTACTTTATCATGATCTATACACCTAATATAAATTATTAAAACTATTAAAATAATATAGTATGTAGTAGTAGTTCAATGWTCTTCACTGGAAAGAATTAATATTTCGGATTCGATTTATACAATTGTCTATTAAGGTCCTTTTTCTGCAATTATTTTTTCAGTATAATATAATATATTAAACAAACATAGGATAAATGGAGTATAATTATTTCCTTAGTACCTATACCTTGTACCAAATAAGAGCGCACCAAATTTACGTAACAAAACCGGTCTTGCTTGTGGCCGCCCGGTGCGCTCTTATTTGGTACGGAGTATGCATTTAAAGTGAAATAATTCAATACATGTAAATATGTAATATAATATAATTGTAATTTAAAATTAAATAATGTTCAATTATTCGTAATTCGTATTGAAAATAATAATACATTATTTTTTAAAAAATAATAGGTACCTACAATAACACAGTGGCATAATTAGGATTTTAAGAATTTGATTAGGCGTGGGGGATTATATGTTTTTACTTTTTTAGCAAAATCTATACGCGTCGTACAGTAACTTATCGAACCAAATATAAATTATTACTTTTTTTTTATTTAAAAAAGAATTACAATCTATACAGCAATTTAGTACAATAAGTAATTTTGATATAGACATAGTATTTACATATCGAGAATGACAGAAGTGGGGTGGCACTACTGAGTGCCACCCGACAGATTAAATTAGAAGGTCTCTAGGCCAAGAGCGTTTAAAACGTCAGGCCGTCAGGGATTGTTAGAGAAGATATGCGTTTTATTAAAGGATTGTAGTGTTGGATTAACTTGGAGTGAAAGGAGACCTAGTGGGACTTTGTTAGTTGTGAGAGCGACGGAATATTTAGATCTTGTAGGTGATTATTATTTGTGATAAACCATGGAGCAGAGACAATTTGCCTCAGACAGATAGACTGGAAAGCCTGAATTGTTCTCGTGTTGAAGGGTTTGGCAGAGCCCCAAATCTGGATGCCATAGGACCATATAAAATGTTAGCACTTAAATAAAAAATTTTTGAGCGGGATCTATCCTCTTAATCCTAATGCTCCCTTTAATTACTCCCCTGAAATAACATAATGATCGTCATTTAAAACGGTAAAATAATAAGAAAATCATTACTAAATAGTAAAGAAAAAAGTCCTGAAGAGCGAATTTCAAATATCCATTCATCTGACAATCATTCTCATAGTGTTGAATAAATAATATATTACCTATTATTTTTATTATGAATTGTGTATTAT